TTTTCGTGTCATATGCACTTTAGATGATGATACATGATGATGATACACTTTAAAGACTGATGATGATTATGCATGATGATGATGATTAACAATGATGATGGTGATAGTTGATGATGATTATGAAGTTTGTGGTTGATGATGATAATGATGGCTGATAATGATAAAAATAACTGTTGATGATGATTACGAACATGATGGTGATACTGTTTGATGATGATGATGATGATGAAAATGACAATGATGTTGGTTGTTCATGATAAAGATGACGATGCTTATGACTTTTGATGATGTAATGATGGTTGATAATGATGCTGATGGTTGATAATGATGATTATGAATGTGATGATGATGATGACGATGATGGTGATGATGGTGATGATGATGATGATAATGAAGATGATGATGATGATGTTTTGTGGTATTGATTATAAGTATGATAATTGGGGTGGTTGATGATTATAATTCTGACAATAATGGGGTTGGATGACAATGACAGTTGATGATGATGATGATGGTGGTGGTTGTTACTTGATAACATTAATGACAGTTGATGCTGTTAATAATTAACTCAATATTCCTACCAGGAGGTGTGTCTATTATAAGATAATCCAGCTCTCCCCAGCAAACATCAGAAAGAAACTGCTTTATCATTGCTGAAACAATAAAGGTTTACTAACTTCAAATGCATTGAACATCAAGTGGGCCCTTAGTGGGCCCTTAGTTAGTGAGGCTAACATGGAAATACAAAACAAATCACACTTTTTCTCAATGTATATTTGTGGTATTTCTTTTATATTTCCATGTTAGCCTTGTATGAAAGACAATTTTAAGAAGGGTGTGTTAAGGCAGAATTATTGTATAAAAGAACACAAAGAAATTATCTTACTTAAGTGAGCAGGTATCTCAGATTTAGTTAGTTTGATAAACTTTGCACAAACCTATCTATATTTGTATATAACCTCAGTCAAATCTTTTAAATGATAAAAACACTTTTTTTGGTATAAAAAGAAATTGTCAAAAATGAAAAAGAAATTGTCAAAAAGGAAAAAGAAATTGTCAAAAAGGAAAAAGAAAAATAATATTGTTCAATAAATTACTATTAATTTAGGATGATTATTATTATGGATTATTAAGGTTATGGTATATAGTTTCAGACTTACCATTTTTCTTCGGACCTCTCCAAACAATAGCATCATTTTTATCTTGTAGAAGAAAACCTATAGACATGACCCCAAGACGTTGATCTGGACTTGTATATACAGGGACCCAACTGCAATGAACACAAAACATATACTTCAGTCTATTAATCTCTTTATCTAGACATCCACTTGACAAAGCAATGGTTGAGTACTGCACTGTTGAGTTGGATGTTGTGCATTAAATCCACCCAAGGCAGACCTCACTCAGGGTTTAAAATAAATTTAAATAACTTTGTTTATAGACAATAACACTTGACAGTTATTCAACAGATGAACTCATGGTCCTCTTTTAACGTCTCTGGTTGATTCAGGACTTAGGGACAGGACCACCATTAACACGGTCATCTCTGCAAATGTAATTACAAAAGCAGCGAATTCTCAGTTACTTGAAGACCCTGAGTGCTGGTCTGGCTGGACTCATACCACAACCTCCCACACAATAGACCAACATTCTTACCAATAAAGCTAATCAGGCGGTGAGAGAAAATGAGAAAAGTGCTACCATTGTAATATTTGGTTAGACTTTCAAGTGGCTCAGCTGAGCACTTCAAATGGTGGTAGAGTGCAAACAATTAATCTGTGAAATACTAATTACTAAATAGTACAAAATAGTGCTAGCTAAACAACAGAAAACAATGGAATTTGCATGAAATTTGTGCTGTTTAGTATTACTAAAGTCTCACGGTTATATTGTTAGCACTCTACCATTAATAAACGAGTTACATGTATTACTAGAGAGACATAAAGAAACCTTGGTAGTGACCATGCACCCTCAGTAAAGTGACTCATGTTTATTGCAAGGAGAGTGAGGATGGTGATGGGGTAAAAGACTCACCTCTAACTTCTCATGTCCAGGGTTCAAAACTCAATCGCCCTATGTGAGTTGAGTTGGTTGGTTCTCTTATTGATCACTCGGAGAGTTTTCCCCCCTCCTCTCAAATCGACCCTAACTTATTCAAACTGGTTAGAGATGGAGTAATACAGTACATGGACTGTATACATGTAGAGGCTGCCAGATTCACCTTCACATGATTTCAGTTCAACCCTGTTGAGCTATACCGCTGCTGTACTTGTGGTGGTAATTAGAGTTAACAATTTTTTTCTCCCTTAGAAGCTAGTAGACTGTCTGTACTGTACATACCCATCTGAACACTGATGTACATCATGATTCTCAACATTCATCATTCTTGGAATACTTGGACCGCAAAGATCAACATCCAACAAACCAACCTAATGGACATAATCAACACACCCAGTTGAATGGATCAGTTTGATGCCATGATCCAAGCACTCTAAGTTAATTGAATATACAATAGCTCAGCTTTTCTTTGTGTGCAAATAATACAACCGTGAAACTTTACTAATACTAAATAGCACAATTTCATACAAATTCCATTGTTTTCTATTGTTTAATTAGCACTATTTTGTACTATTTAGTAAAAGGTGTTTCACGGATTAATTATTTGCACTCTATCATTGTTATATAAACATTCACTATTTTGTAAATTATTATTATCATTATCCTATTATTTAAAGTGCAAATGAACCCTTCGACAATACTTTCAGTACTGATTTCTCATGAAGTAAATAGTTGAATGGTAAAATATTTCTTGATTTGAGTGATGCGTTTCTAAATTATGAAGGTCTATACTTTCAATATGCTAATAAGCGTGACGTCTATTAAGGCTTAAT